ATGGTTTGTCTTCAAGGATAGCCAGATCTTACATTCTTTGAGCAGTCCTTTCGGTCAGTAGGTATTGCTGAACAGGCGCTGAAAGAGATTGAATAATTGACCCCAAATCCCATTCACACTATTACAGGAGTAAGCCATGATTTAAACTATAGGGTGTCTCTTTTCAGTGAACTGAAACTGTTACCTACTGAAATTACTCAATGCAGTTTTAAAGATGCTGAAAGGATGAACAGTGGTATTAATTCTGAGAGGCACCTACAGCATGTACCCTGTGTCTTATTTGTATTTCCCTAGAGATACTATATGCAAATAGCTGTAAACTTGGTATATTTTTTTCATTTCCTTCTTCATAATTGGTATTTATTGTAGACATTATTCTGCTTCTAGCTGGGAGGTTGTATTTTTTATATTGGTTGGGCTATATATGTAGCCCATACTGGCTTCAAAATTGCAATCCTCCTGATTCAGCCTCCTCAGTGTTAGGTTTACAAACATGAGCTGTCACATCCTACTAAAACATTGCTTGTTTGTTTTTTTATCATTGTATGTGTAGATGTGCTCCCCCTACCTTCCTGCTGTGTGTATTGGGGGATAGAACCCCGGAGCATAGCTAAGCAGGTGTTCTGCCATAATCTATCCTTCCCCCCCCCCACTCACTCACTCACTCACTCACTCACTCACTCACTCACTAAAAGATTTATTTATCTGCATATGTGTTTGTCTGTCTCTGTGTAAGTGTATGCAGGCCTATAGAAGAAAAGGGTATCCAGGTGTCCTCTCACCCTCTGCCTATTCCTTTGAGGCAGTGTCTCTCCCTAAACCTGGGACTCAAAGTTTCTTTTTCTTTTTTTTTTTTTTTTAATTTACTTATTTATTTAGCTTGGCTGGAAGCCAACAATCCCTAGTGATCCTCCTGTTTCCTCCTGCCTCGGAGCTAGGGTTGCAGTTGTGCTCTGGACACCAGACTTACTGTGTGTGTGCTACGATGTGAACTCGGGTCTTCCTGCTTGTACAGCAAGTTCTTTTGACCACTGAGCCGTCTTTCCAGCCCATCTCTTTTTTAAAAAAAGATAGTGTGCCATTGTGTCTTCTGCTGATGGGCTTGGCATTCTTTAAGATATTTAAAGTGCAGTTGCATCTGCTTCCTTTGCATGTGCATTAATATAGAGTTTTCAACTCCAGCACTATGAATATTTAGACAAGGTAATTCTTTGTTACGGGACAATCCTGTATCTGACAATTTCAGTAGTGTCCCAGCTCCATTGCACCATGTGCCAATGATATCCCTGTTGTAAGTTATGACAACCAAACATACCTGTAGTTGTTAAATGCTCCCAAGGGGTGTAAAAAAAAAAAATCAACTCTGGTTGAGAACCATTGCTTAGCAATCAAGATAATCCCCAGTACACATGCGCACAGATCAGTCTAGTTTGAGCAGTCCTTCCTTTCACAGATGTGTATGTGTGAAAGCTGTGTAAAGTTGACACATACAGCTAATTAGGACAGTTCCTTGCAGAGGGAATAGTATGAACTGTTAATTGGCATCTAATGTGTGACAAGCATGTACTTTGTGTGCTTAAAAAAATGTATCCCTGTATGGGCTAAACAATTTAAAATTTAATTTGTGAGTGAGTGAGTGAGTGTGTGTGTATATACACACATATGAGGGCATATGTGTGGACATGTAAAGAGCAGAGGACAGCTTTTGGAGTCAGTTTTCTCCTTCCTTCAGAGATCATACTTGGACATGAGGTTTGCACAGTAAGTGCTTCTGTTTACTGAGCCATCCACCAGCCTTAACCATTTACTTTTAATAAAAGGGCACTGTTAGTATCCCTTTAGAGTTACCATATGACATCTCAGATCTCTACATATTCTGACAGGCATGGTCACCTGATGAAGATAGGAGTTACTTCTCAGAATACTTTGTGAAAATATTTCTGTGTTTAGGAGTGGTAATAGCCCCTGCCACATACCTGTGACTAGATCTGAACTGGCATAGATGTTTAAATGAATTTAAACAATTAATTTCCCAACCTTTTCTGGGGCTCCTGTCTTTTCCTACTTAGCCATTGTGAAAGTTTGAAACAGTGACTTTGTGTTTGCTTTTTCACTTGACTCTTGTCTTTCGATTATTTGTTCACTGACTGTTAACGTAATATCCAGCACATACTATATCTGTCCAGTGAATATATACGGAATTAGTCACTCCAAGGATCGAGGACATTTGGAAACTACTGAGGATTAAAAAGTTTACCTAGTTCAGCAGTTGGCTCTGTCTCTGACTACAATGAAACTTCCTTCCTGATACTCAGAACTAGTTGGGTCTTGTGTTTTTCTCTGAAACAGTTAAGAAGTTTGGGGGGGGGTTGGTGCGGGAGAGTGGGGAGCTTTTAGATAATGTGATTCTCAGTGTTTGGCAGGAATCTGGCTATGGAAGCTAAGAGAATAAGCAAATACTAATTAATGTTTTCCCTACCACACATCCTTAAGAGGTAGTGTTACATGCTACTTGAGGCGAAATAATATATCTTCTCCTAAATGAACAGTTTTCTGATATTTCAGTTACTTCTGACCTTAGTATTTCTACTAATCCTCCAAGGTGTGTAGGAGATAACTGCAGTTTGTGTATTGTTTCCTCTACTTCTAAGAATTTATGTGAATATTGGTGTTGGCCAGAGAACTCGTCAGACTAGTTCAGTGTTCTCTTGTTTGGAGTCCAGCTTTCATGAGCAAGTACTCTAGGAAGGATGGGGTGAGGGGAAGAGGTCACCACCTCTCATGGAAAAAAGGATAGGTACAAGCCATTTCTGTGAAGGCTCAGTGGTCAGTTTTTTAGGCTTTTGCAGGCCCTAGTCTCTGTCACACATTCTTATTTCCATATCTCTTTAAAGTTGTAAAAGCCATACCAAGCTCCACAGCCTTATAAAACAAACCATAGCCAGATATGTGTGGTTGACCAACTCTTGAACTAACTGAAGAAATGAATGTGTTGCTACATGTGTTTATTTTAGTGTTTTGGGGACATGAACTCAGAATTACCTTGGGAATTCTCAACCGATTGTGATACAAAGAAGAATGTTCAAAGCTTTGACATGTGGGGTCAAATTTGATATGTGACAGTCATTCTGGGCCCCTGGAATTCGAGGTAACCTTGGGCAATGGGACAGAGGGCTCTTGCTGCATCTTCTCATGGGAATGCTGGCCAAGGGAGAACAGGGGCCAGGATAGAGTAGAGGTATGGCTCTTGAATTAGGCTAGGCCCTGACAGGTGTAAGGAACACAGTGACGCAAATTCCTCAGTCACGTTGGGGATGTGGTTAGAAATCTGGCGTGTAATGAGTTTAGCCAGTTTATAAAAATGAAAAAAAAACAAAAACAAACCCTCATGTACTTAGATTCTGAGAACAGCAAATTCTGATACGTGATTCCAGATCTATCCTGTGGTTTTTCTCTATAGGAAGTCCTGTTGCACCTTGCATAAGTAAGGTACTGATTATTTCAGGGTATTTTGGGATGTAGGAAGCCATAAATATTGTTAAAGAGCATGGTATAAGATGATCCCTTGTCCCGACTTCTGCTGTACTAACAGGTTTTGTGACCCTGGGAAGTTTAGTTGTCTCCTAAATTTTACTATCCTCATTTGTAAATGGTAGTGGTGATGACTCAACCATAGAGTTGTTAGGAGAATCAATGAGGACAGTGTGTGGATAATGCTTTTAGCTCGGTGCCAGCCGGAATACCATTTTTTATTGTTTGTTTCGTGTGTGTATGTCTACATATGAATGTTCCATGGTGCCTATGTGGAAGTCAGAGGGCAGCTTGTGGGAATTAATTGTACCTTGTTCCATGTGGGTTCTGGGGACCAAACGTAGGGCCTTAATTTAGTGGCAAGGGCCCTTACCCACTAAGCTACTTTACCAGCCCTGACATAACACATATTAGTTCATAAAACATTGATCAAAATTGATGGTAAGTTCAGTTTCTTGAACTATGTATTGGGACAAAACTGGGAGGTCACTTCTGGGGTTTAGTTCTGTTATAGAGTATTTGCCCAGCATGGTTGGGAAGGCCCTGGGTTCTATCCCCAATACCACATGGTAAACACTTTTGCCAGAAAGATCTGATAGGATGCTCCCAAGTTCAGGGCTTGCATTGGTAACTTGTAATTTGGAATGAGCACTATATATTGGACTACTTTTATGAGATACATGAAATAGTAGAATTTTAAAATGAGCAGCCAGTGTAGTGAAGTGGACTGGAAGGGCTTAATTTCTATGGAAGAAATGTGATAAATACCTTGTAAAAGTTTGAATGTGTATTTCCTTTTCCTCTACAGTTCTATTATTTTAGGAATTTTGCTGGTACTAAATCATGTATGGTAGGATTATTTAGCACAGTAATATTTAACAGAAAGGTGGAATTAGTGGTATCTAAGGAGATATGTTACTTTAATCCTAGTGTGTTCTTTCAGTTGAAAACTGTGCACCCACCAAGGGGAAGTGGGGAGCTCTGTTTTTACTCATGGAACTCTCTTCCAAGTTAATTAAGTAAAAAGTAAGGTGAAGAACAGCATACCTTGTTACTAATGCCCTCATTTTTGTTGTCTGGTCCTGAGAAGGACAGGAACAAATGGTTTTCTTGTGTAATATTGAGAAGAATACAAAGTTAGTTCTGTCTGTTATGAAGAACTCTAGGTAACTGAGGGACAAGTCCGAATGGAATTTACATTGCATACTATACCCTTACCTTTCAAAATACGTACTGTCAGAAAGTTGGTGTGGCCACAGCTCCTCTCATTGCAGGTAAAAACACTATGGGAACCTGTTCTTTTCCCTGTATGCGTATCTCTTTGCCTGCTCCCTTTTGACCTTGATGACTAGAGAAGCTGGCTGTGGGTTTACCCTAAAACAGCTCTCCCTTGCCACACATACAGAAGCATATTGACATTTCTCCTCTTGCTTTGTGTGACTGATGGTGTTTCTGTTTCCACCCCCCAGCTCTGGCAGCATGTAAACAACCTTTTGCCAAGAACCCAGGTCACTGCTGAGAAGGGTGCCTTAAGGGAGAAGAATATCAGAGGACACCAATGCCAGGCGTGTCTGGAATAGTGCTCGGTACAGGCAGCATGAGACGTTCTGTGCCAGCCTCTGTTTATTACTGGCAAAGGCTGGGGCTCTCCGGGTAGGAGGGTCCTGGGGCAGCCAGCACCAGGAGCCCCCCAAAGGGAACATGGGACCAGCTATGAACTCTTTACAGTGAACTCAGTTTTAGCTTATGAAGGAATTTTAAGTAAAAATTACTTAATTTTTGCATACTGACATTCAGAAGCCTTTGGTGTGAAGTGCCAGCAATTGCCCTTGTCTACTGGAGTTATCAGGATTCTTCTGGCACCGAGGTGAACTCTTCTCGGTACTTCTGGCAATACAGCCCTTTAGGACAAATTCACCTGCTGAATGCTTTGGAGCAGGAAAAAAAGTAAAACCTTGGAAGCAGCCCACATAGCCGAACAGAAAGCTCACCCTTGCCGCTCACTTGCCCAGAAACAGTCCAGACTCGAATGCTATTCCTGAAGCCGTGTCCTGCCTCGTTCAGCACAGCTCTATCTGTACCAGAGAGACCTGGAATTCTGAGGTGCTCCTGTGGCCCTTCTGTACTACTATTCGGCACCACAGCTCTGGATTCAGGCAGTTGGATGATGTGAACTTTGAGATGGAGTTTGTCACCCGTGGGGGACTGGCTTCCTTTCCAAGGCTTGTGCTGTCGGAAGGGATCATCTGAAGACGTGTTTGTGTGGAAACCAGCCTGACCTGCATCCTCCACCATGTTCCTGTTGCTGCCTTTTGATAGCTTGATTGTCAACCTTCTGGGCATCTCCCTGACTGTCCTCTTCACTCTGCTACTTGTTTTCATCATAGTCCCTGCCATTTTTGGAGTCTCCTTTGGTATCCGAAAGCTCTACATGAAAACATTGTTAAAGATCTTTGCGGTAAGTTGTGCTATTGGGAAAGGTTTCCTCACAGGGGAGAGGAGCATTAGCAGAAAGAGTGCTTCTTATCAGGAGCCCTTTTACCTTCTGCATCACGGTGGGGCTTAGACATCGGAAACTGCCTCATGCAGAGCAGGTAGCAGGGCACGGGGCTTCTGCTCATTGGCTCTTTTCGTCCTCTTTCATGGCAGTCTGAGGTCGATCCTTCCATTCATGCAAAAAGAATGCACAGGAAAGAGCATTTGAATTTTTCAGAAAGGTAGAGAATACATCAGAACTTAGTTAACGTACCGTTGAACAGAACTGGTTGTGTTAAATGGAAGCAGATGAGAAGTAGTATCTCCTAGAAGTTGACCTGTGCCTCAAGACTAATATTTAGACAGAGATTTGCTGCTTAAGTTGCAGAATGTTTTCAGTAGTCACCAAATCCTCAGGAATTCTTTCCCACAGCTGAAGCTGCATAATTTGAGCAATATACCATGATAATATAATACACTAGTTCATGTGATATCTTACAGGTTTGTTTGGTTTGGTTTGGTGGTTCTGGGGATCAAGCCAAGGGTCTTTGGCATGCTTTGCAAGCACTCTGCAGTCTTTAAATATTTTTTCCCTCATTCTTTTAGTTCCTTTGAATTCTGTAGTATTCACTGCCCTTATAAGAACAAGGTGGGGTTGGAGGATTGGTACAGGGGTTAAGAGCATGTACTGCTTCTTCTAAAGGACCCAAGTGTGAATCCCAGCACCCACATCTAGTGACTCTTAACCACCTGTAACTTCAGCTCCAGGGGAATCCAACACCTCTGACCTCCGTGGGACCTGCCCTCAGTGCACAGGCACACACAGGTGTGCACACATATGCTCACAACTAAAATGATTGAAAAAATTTTGAAATTGAGGTGAAATAAGCAGACTGTAAAGCCAGCCATTCTAAACACAGTTTGGTGGCTTTGGTATGTTCATGTTATACAGCACCACCACTCTTAGTGCCACATGTTGCTATCACTTCAAAGGAAGCTCTTAAACCAATATAGTCATACCAGAGTGGGGGATGGTAACCAGCGCAAAGCTAGTCCGAACCAAAGAAAAAGACCCCTTACTCGGCAGTCTGTCCTCGTTTACTCTTTCAAGGCCCTGGCTAGCACAAGCTATGTTCTCTGGATTTACCTATTCTAAATATGTCCTGTGAATGTTTTCAGAGCTCATCTGCATGGTAGCAGTTGTCAGTACTTTTGGGTGTTATGTGTGATTGAATGGTAACTCATTAAGTTGTCTGTCCTATGATTTGCTTATGCATTCATCTGTTGATGAATTATTTCCACGTTTTGGCTGCTGTGAACCCATGTTTTCAAGTATGTTTGTTATGTTTTGTTTCAGTTATGTTCGTTTTAGCTTGTGTGTAGGTGAGCATATGTGCATGTGGGGACCTGAGTTGATGTTACCCGTCTTCCTCAGTTGCTCTTCCACCTTAGTTATTGAAGCAGAATGTCTCAATCAAACCCAGAGCTTGCTGATGCCTATCTAGTCTTTCTAGCCAGTATGTAGTGGAGATCCTTTCTCTGACATCTGAGGCTGAAATTACAGGCGGGGACCATGCCCACCTGGCATTCATGTGGGTCCTGGGGATCTGAATTCTGGTCCTGATGCTTGCATGGCAAGTGCTTTATTTAAGCACTGGGTCATCTTTCCTGCCCCTAGAAATTGCCATTTTTTAAAACAAAAGTAAGAGTTAAAAATCTCTTTTTTTAGTGCTTAATTCATCTTGGATAACATTGGTTGAGATAGAAAGTCTAGAATAATTGTATATCCTTTCCTGAATATGGAGGGCCAACCAGATGATTCAGAGCGTAATGGCACTGACTGCCAAGATTATGATAACCTGAGTTCCATTCCCTAACCTGTATGGTGCATGGGGAGAATTGATTCCTTGAAAGTTGTCTTCCGGGCTGGAGAGATGGCTCAGAGGTTAAGAGCACTGCTTGCTCTTCCAAAGGTCCTGAGTTCAATTCCCAGCAACCACATGGTGGCTCACAACCATCTGTAATGAGATCTGTTGCCCTCTTCTGGCCTGCAGGGATACATGCAGACAGAACATTGTATACATAGTAAATAAATAAATAAATCTTAAAAAAAAAAAAAAAAAGAAAGTTGTCTTCCTCTGACCTCCATTCATGCACTATGGCAAGTATATACATACTGTATTAGTCAGGGATTTCTAGAGGAACAGAAATAATAGAATGAATGAATATATGTAAGAGAACTTATTAATAAAGTGGCTTACAGGCTGTGGTTCAATGACTTAGTTAAGGTTATTATTGCTGTGATTAAACACCATGACCAAAAGCAATGTGGGAAGGAAAGGGTTTGTTTCACTGACAGTTACATGTAACAGTTCATCATCAAAAGCAGTGAGGAGAGGAACCTGGAGGGAGGAGGAGATGCACAGGCCATGGAAGAGTGTTGCTTACTGGCTTACTCTCCTTGGCTTGCTCAGCTTGCTTTCTTATAAAAGCCAGGGCTACCATCCTGGGGGTGACTCTACCCATAACAGACTGAACCCTTCCATATCAATCACTAATTAAAAGAAAAGGCCCTACAGGCTTGCCTGCAGCCCTGTCTTATAAAGGCATTTTCTCATTTGAGGCTCCCTTCTCTCAGATGACTCCAGCTTGTGTCAAGTTAACATAAAACTGACTAGTCCAATAATGACTGTCTTCGGAAGAAAAGACCAACAATCTGATAGTAGTTCAGTCCAAGAGGCTGGATGTCTCAGCTGCCTTTAGTATATGTTGGAATCTTGAAGAAGTATGGTTTGATACCAGTGAAGGAATGAATCCCTCTGCATCAGGATAGATGAACTTGCCAAGCAGAGGGCAAGCAGGCAGAAAGCAAAAGGTACCTTCTTCCAAGCTCTTTCACGTAGGCTGCCACCAGAAGGTGTGACCCAGATTTAGGGTGGTCCTTCCAACCTCAGATGATCCAGATTTGGGGGTGATCTTTTCACCTCAATTACTTGAGTATTTCTTCATTCAAGAAAATGTCCTCACAGGTGTGTTCAGATGCTTGAGTTTTAGTTAATTCCAGATTATTTTGAAGTTGATAGCCAAATAAAATCCTTGGTGGGTAGAGTGTTGGATGTTGAATCCCTGTGCATGCCAGATTTTCTCTGCCACTGAGCAAATAAATCCTTTTCATAATTTTGTTTTTAAAGTATACATTCAGGGTCTAGAGAGATGACTCAGTAGTTGAGTACTTGCTGCTTCTCAGAAGACCTGAGTTTGGTTCCCACACCCATGTTGGGTAGTCTGAACTCCAGATCCAGGGAAATCTGATGTCATTGTTTGGCCTCTGCAGGCACTGTACTCCCATGGACAACACACTCACCAATAATTAAAAATAATAGAATAAAGTGTTCGAGACCGGGCCGGGCGGTGGTGGCGCACGCCTTTAATCCCAGCACTCGGGAGGCAGAGCCAGGCGGATCTCTGTGAGTTCGAGGCCAGCCTGGACTACCAAGTGAGTTCCAGGAAAGGCGCAAAGCTACACAGAGAAACCCTGTCTCGAAAAACCAAAAAAAAAAAAAAAAAAGTGTTCGAGACCATAAAAATAAAATATACACACTCTTAAGTTAGGTGTAGTGATGGCACATACTTGTAATCCCAGCACTTCGGATGCAGAGATGAGGGGATCACAGGTTCAAGGCCAGTCTAGGTTACACAGCAAAACCTGTCTCAAAAAAACAACAGCAAAAAGTACATTCTGCTGTGGGATGTTCTGTATGGCAAATGTGTTGCTGATTAGTCAATAAATAAAACACTGATTGGCCATTGGCTAGGCAGGAAGTGTAGGCGGGACAAGGAGGAGAATAAAGCTGGGAAGTCGAAGGCTGAGTCAGAGAGACACTGCCAGCCACCACGATGAGAAACAGCATGTGAAGATGCCGGTAAGCCACGAGCCATGTGGCAGGGTATAGATTAATGGAAATGGATTAATTTAAGCTGTAAGAACAGTTAGCAAGAAGCCTGCCACGGCCATACAGTTTGTAACCAATATAAGTCTCTGTGTTTGCTTGGTCGGGTCTGAGCGGCTGTGGGACTGGCAGGTGAGAGAGATTTGTCCTGACTGTGGGCCAGGCAGGAAAACTCTAGCTACAACATTCTTATAATTTTTAATATAGATTATAATTGTACATTAAAATAATTAAATGTTTATTCTAGGACATACAACCTTAGGCTACCAGAGAAAGCACATCTTGAAAATCACTGTTCTGGGCACAGTGATTTAAAGTAGTAATGAAAATAGTTCATACATTTGTAACCTTAAGATAAAGTTCACTGGTAGAGTTCTTGACTAGCATTTCCTAACCCTAGCATCACAAAAAGAGAAAACAATTTTTTTCAAAAATTATATTTGTAGCCAGTTATAGTGATACACATGCTTTTAATCCCAGAAGGCAAAGGCAGGTGGATCTCTTGAGTTTGAGACCAGCCAAGGCCACCTAGTCAGACTCGGTCACTAAAATAAATAAGTAAATTTGCGCTTCGTGCATCTTTAGAGATATGTTTCCAAGCTTTCAGAGGGCTCACAGAGCCTTTTGGACAAATAGGCTGCATGCTAGAGAAAAGGATGGGCTAGAAAGGACTTGGTGTATGTCAACAAAGGCATAGGGTGGTTCTGGAAGCATCCACTCTTTCATCTTTGGTGTCATGAGTTGATTGTGTCTGTGTGTGTGTGTGTGTGTGTGTGTGTGTGTGTGTGTGTGTGTACACTCATACATGTTAGGCATGCACTCTATCAATAAGCTCAATCCTGTGAATTAATCTTAATGGACTCAAACAGTTGATGCTACTTTTATCAATGACAATACCCAGGTATAGGCTAAGATGTTGTCAAACTTTAGAAAGTGTATATTTGTGTATCCATGTATATACATCTAAATATACCTGTATTTGTATGTGTTGATTGGTTGGTTGGTTGGTTGGTCTTGAGAAATGCCCAAATTTGGGCCACTGTAACATTCTGCTATCGTAGACTGATGACCTATAAAAACAGCAAATTTCCCCAAGAACAAGGTGCTGGCAGCATTGTCTAGTCAGTGCCTACTTCTGGTTCGTAGACTTTTTCTTACTGTGTCCTCAGGATGATGGAGCTTGCTGGGATCCCTTTTATAACCCAATTCCTTTTTTAAAAGGAGTTATTTTATTGTTGTATGTGTATATATAACCATGTCTGCACAGGTATAGTGGAGGTCAGAAAAGGGTGTTAGACCCCTTGGAATTTAACTACTTAATTGTGGGTGCTGGGAATCAAAACCCTGTCCTCTTTAAGAGTAGCAAGTGATCTTAATGGCTAAACTACCTCTTCGACCCCTATAAACTTACTGTTGAGGCCTTTTCCTTCATAATCTTATTCACATCTGAACAATATCATATTGGAGATTAGATTTCAGCAGAATTTTTAAAGGACAAAGATTTTGCCTCATGGCACAAAATGACTTATTTTACCTTTTAAAAGATTCATTTTTTCCTAAATTGGAATGATATGCATATCTTTAGAATTGGAAGAAAGCTAAGAGATTATCATAATTCTTTGGTTCTCCCTCCTAACTACACATTTTAATCACCCAGGGAAACATTTAAGTACTTATTTTGGGCTGTGAATGTAGCTCAGTAAAGTGTGTGCTGCATGTACAAAGCATTGGGTTTGTACCCAGTATAAAACAGGATGTGCTGATACATCCTTACCCCAGCACTCAGGAGGTAGAGTCAGGAAGTCAGAAATTCAAGGTCATCCTGGGCTGCTACATAGCGAGTTTGAAACCAGTCCGTAATGCATAAGACCCTCTCAAAAAAAAAAAAAAAAAAAAAAAAGTACTTATTTGGGGTACCAGTATCTTGATTCATTGATCTTAGCATTTTTACAAAGCTCTCCAGGTGATTTTGCTGGCTTTTGTAGAGAAGTAGTTTGAGTCCCTCTTCTTGAATGTGGACATATTTAGTGATTGGTTTCTCTCTCTCATTCCCTCCCTCCTCCTTTCCTTCCTTTCTTTCTTTTTTTTTGCTGTCCTAGAGAGTGAACCTAGGGCCTCATGCATGAGGTGAGGCAGGTGCTCCACCACTGAGCTACAGACCCTGCCTTAGTGATTGGTTTCTAACAGGTAGGATATGGTAGATATATATGGCACTGTGCTACTTGTAAGGTTGAGTAAGAAAAGACAATGCAGTTTGTTTCTGATTCGTACTTGCTTTCATCTCTCTTACTCTTGATCTCCCTGTTTGTTCATGTAGCCATGCCATGTTCCATCTCAGCTTCAGGCTCTGATAGCCTGAATCAGATGCCCACATAGGGTGAGCAAGCCTTCTAAGAACTCCAGCTCCCAAGTCATTGAGCCATCTAGTAGATGCCAATCTTCTGTGATCTTCAGGTTCACAAGCAACATAATTTTTTTGGTTTGTTTTCATTTTATTTTGGAGCCAGATTCTCACTGTGTATCCCTGAATGAGCTGGAACTCACTCTGTAGACTAGACTTGTCTCATACTCAGAGGTCTACCTATTTCCACCTCCTGCATGCTGGGATTAAAGGTGCATCATCACCATCACTCCCAGTTCAGTAGTGGGTTTTGTTGTTCTTACTTGTCAATTTGTTTGATTTTTTTGAGACAGGGTCACTGCAAGTCTTGGCTGTCCTGGAACTCACTATGTAGACTAGACTGGTTTTGAACTCAGAAATCTGCCTGCTTTGACTGGGATTAAAGGCGTGTACCACCATGCAAATCTAGCTCAGTAGTGGGATTTTAAATCATTAAGTTTTTAGACAGTTTTTATATGGTAGTAGATAACCAGACAAATACCATAATGTCAAAAATTATAATTGCACATGTTTTATAGTTTCCACCTTTGTTATTTTTGCATAATGCCCTTCAGTCTTTGACAGTTGACATTCATAATTTATAGTTATGTTAATAGTGTAGACATACATTTTTTTTAAAGATGTATTTATTTATTATGTATACAGTGTTCTGCCTGCATGTCAGATCTCATTACAGATGGTTGTGAGAGCCGGGCGATGGTGGCGCACGCCTTTAATCCCAGCACTCGGGAGGCAGAGCCAGGCGGATCTCTGTGAGTTCGAGGCCAGCCTGGGCTACCAAGTGAGTTCCAGGAGAGGCGCAAAGCTACACAGAGAAACCCTGTCTCGAAAAACCAAAAAAAAAAAAAAAAAACAAAAAACAGATGGTTGTGAGCCACCATGTGGTTGCTGGGAATTGAACTCAGGGCCTCTGGAATAGCAGCCAGTGCTCTTAACCACTGAGCCATCTCTCCAGCCCCGACATACATTTTATGTCTGCATCTCTTGTCATTTCACTAGCCATTTTCACAAAGATCGTGGCTATCTTCAAGTTCTGGGTATCTAATAGTTCAAGTACACTTACCTGTGCTTTTTATGGGACTAAGCATCAGTCACTTTACCTAAGCAGCTTGCAACTGTTTTGGATACTTCATCCTATCAGAAGAAAGTATTTATGTGCCTGCCACAGATGGGTCCGTGTCTGTCCAGAGTACCTTAATCTTCTGTTTTGGGGGTTTTTACTTTAGATGTTGCCTATACAGTTTGCAGTAATATTTTTGGAGTGGAATTTCTAGGAACTGACTTTCAATTAATTGAAGATAATTTGGGGAAAGAGAAAGAAAAGACCTGGATGTAAGCAAAAAGATGAAAATAAGCTGAGTTTTGCTACCCAGATGAAAGGAGTCACTTAGGTCATGTTAGAGAAGACAAGGTCTTGCAGTCTGGTCAGTGCCCAGCTGCACAGTCAGATTGGTTGGAAACTTTAAACAAACTGTGGTGTGAGCACAGAGGCTGAAGACATAATTGCAACAACAGTGGGATTGGAGCAGGGTGGGCAACAATGTTTTTGAGCACTTGGGGGTTTTCAACCAGCCCAGAAGCTCAGCCTTGATCAGTAAACTTTCTAGTGTTGTTTGTTGTCTGCAGAGGGACATGAAAATAATGAAAAGGCCGTGTTTTGAAGATGAGGATGATTTCTGTCAGGGAAGGTGATAGGAAGAACGTTTAGGTTTGTTGTAAAATGTCTTATTTATCTTTGACAGTTTCACACATGTATACAGTGTGTCTTGATCGGATCCACCCCACTCCCCACTCCCGTGGGACTCCCACAACATGCTCCCCTTCTACCTTCCTGCCTTGTTCTTTTTTATAACCCACTGAGTCTAATTAGTTCTGTCTGCATGCACATGGATGTGGGGCCTCCCTCCACTTGAGCAAGGCCCGCTTCCAGCAGTCCTACCCCCAAAGAAAAGTGACTCACTTTTCCCCACAATTGCTAGTAGCTCCTCAGCTGCAAGTGGAGTCTCATGAGCCTTTCCCTCATCCATGCTGAAATGATGACTGGCTTGATCCTGTGCAGGTTTTGTTCAGGTAGCCATAGCTGCAGTGAGTCCAGGAGTGCAGCAACAGCAATGCCATGTCCAGAAGACAGCAGTTCACAGCACTCTCTCCTTACTCTTTCAGTGTTCCCTGAGACCTGGAGGGTGTGTTTGTGATAGGGGTAGGTGTCCCTTTTAGAACTGATCACCAGTCACTTATTCTCAGCACTTGGCCAGCTCTGAATCTCTTCATTAACTGTTGTCCATGGACATTTCTAAGAAAGCCAAAGGGGAAGGACTGTAACTATAAAGGCATCAAATACTGAGCTATTCTAGAGCTAAGAGAACCTGGGTGAAGAGTTACTCTTTTAATGAAAGCACTAACCCACAGCCATTGTCACTGGTTTCCTGGGTTGGACTTGTTGGTTTCATTGTCTCACTATTGAAAAGAATGTCAGCGAGAACAGCGGAATTGAGAGCAAGTAGGGGTTTTATTGAGAAGTAGAGTAACAGCTCCCTACTACAGGGAAAGATCCCAAAAATATCTTGACAAGTAGCGCTCCAGATCAGATGTTCTTTTATAGATTGGAAAGGGGTCAGTTTGTCCCGACCAGTACATAATTTAAGCATCAAGTTGGAATGTACCTGATTGCCCAGTTTGAGTGTATTTGGAGGATTCTGGCTGGTCAAGGGATCAGGTAGAAGACTGCAGCCTCAAAGGAATTTCACCAAAGTCACCAAAGAGGAGGAAGAACCCTGAAGTAAAAGAACGAACAGCCTGGTGATGAGTCAGGGCCTTTTAGATTTCATCTCTCAGACTCTGTTCCTTTGGCGCATCACCAATCACATCTGCTTCTATGTTCTTCATCAGGGCATGCACAGACAGTTTTGTTCATTTGATCCCCAGAATCCCCATGGTGGAACCATCGCCCCACAAGTTGTCCTCTGACCTCCACATGTTCTCCTGCGCCCCCCGCCCCCCAAATAAATAAATGCTGTGCTGATGGGTATTCTTGCAGGGGTAGGCAGTAGTTGAAGGAGACAAGTTTTACTAGCCAGTTCCTATGTGCCTGGAGACAGATTCAGGCAATGAGAAAAGCACCCTGAACATCTTGTCATGGCTTCTTGACTTTTTAGTGCTTTACTGCTGGGAACTTAGTGTGTGTTCCTGGTCAATAAGTCGTAGCCCTGGGGACGGGATGGCTCCTTTGGAAGGTGTGCTGCTTGACTGCTATCACGTCAGGCAACTAGAGTTGAGCGGGCAGCTAGCCTCGAAGGCTAAAGAAGTAGGGTGAGAACTGATGAGAAAACGACCACTCTTGTGTCATTTTACCATTTTCCTCCGCAGTGGGCCACCTTGAGAATGGAGAGAGGAGCCAAGGAGAAGAACCACCAGCTTTACAAGCCCTACACCAACGGTAGGATTGGGTGCCCTAGTCTTACAGAGCCTCTGAAATAACATCCAGACTCTTTGTAGAGCCTTAGTCCGCTTGCTCTTGCCTGTAACAAAATACCCGAGGGTACCTTGTAGAAGAAAAAGTGTGACCTTCTGGTAGGTACAAAACTCAGGCGGGGCGGGGCAGAGGCTTAGTGCATGAAATGCTTGCTGTGCATTTACACAGGTTGGAGCCCTAGATCCACGTAAAATGTAGGTTCAGGGACGTACCCCTGTAAAATTCCAGTGCTGGGGGCCAGAGACAGGCCGATCTCCAGAGCTCAGTGGCTAGCCAGACTAGCAGCCCGAGAGCTTCAGGTTCAGTGTGACCCTAGTAAAAATGTGTGTGGTGGAGAGTGGTAGGGGAAGATACCTCACATTGACCTCTGACCTGTCTGCTTATGCAACACACACACACACACACACACACACACACACACACACACACACACACAGAGTCAACCTCTCAGTCTCTCTCTTTCTATCAGTCTCTCACACAGAGAGACAGAAAAGAAAACCTGGGTGGGTAGAGGTAGAATGCCACTGGTGAGGTCCCCTGGGCCACATTGCAGTATGGCAGATGGAACCACATGGCAGGAGTGTTTGAGAGGATAGGAGGGAGGGAAGAATTGGTTCCAGTGGCAAGGAATGACCCAAGAGAGTAGGGAGGTGTCTGGCTTACTTTTTAAAAACAAACTGATCTAAAGAGCTGGACATAGTGACATATGCCTGTGGTCTCAACAGTTGAGAGATGGAAGTAGGAGAATCAGGCATTCAAAGGCATCCTTAGCTGCTTAGTGAGCTCAAGGCCAGCCATTGTCTCAGAAACAAGCAAGCAAACAAACAAAAACAAGCAAGCAAGCAAACAAACAAAAAAACCAAGCAAACAAGCAATCAAAAATCCACCAAAACCCCCACCTGATGTTGTGGAAATGAATACACCCCTGCAGAACCCACCCACCCAGAGCAAGTATAGTGCTGCTCTGTTCAGGGACAGCAGTCCCATGACCTAATCCCATGAGCTAATCTCTTACATTCCAGGTTTGTTTGTTTAAGGACAGGGGTCTGTCTATCCCGGCTGGCCTTAGACTCACAGAGATTTGATTGCCTATGCCTCCTGAGTGTTAAGATTAAAGGCATTTGCTACTACACCTGTTGATTTTCATTCTTTGATAGTTTTATACAAGTATAAATTTTAATTATTTTCACCCCCCATTCCCCTATCTCATCTTCCTTTCTTCTGCAGAAACCCTTCTTTTCCCCGCCTATTTTTATGCCCTTTTTTGTGTGTAAGTGACTCACTTAGTTTAAATAGTGTTTCAAGCATGAGCCTAGGTGGAAGATACGTATCGGAGCATGGTAGACCCCACCCCTTAAAGCCCCCGCACTTCTCAGTGCTGTTGTATTGAGGGCTACCTCTTTCTGCTCATGAAACTCTGGAGAGCATATCCAGCCCACATCCAAACCACGACACATGTATCCTTTCAAACACATGTTCCTTGTAGCATGCCACTTGACAAGGGATATTGTTTTGTTTTGTTTTGTTTTTTTCAGGAATCATTGCAAAAGACCCCACTTCTCTGGAAGAAGAAATCAAAGAAATTCGTCGAAGTGGTAGTAACAAGGCTCTGGATAAGACACCAGAGTTTGAGCTCTCTGACATTTTCTACTTTTGCCGCAAAGGAATGGAGACTATTATGGATGACGAAGTGACAAAGAGATTCTCCGCAGAGGAGTTGGAGTCCTGGAACTTGCTGAGCCGAACCAATTACAATTTCCAATATATAAGCCTACGGCTTACCATCCTCTGGGGCTTAGGAGTGCTGATTCGGTATTGCTTCCTTCTGCCACTCAGGTGAGGCTGGGCCTTGAGGCCAGTGTGACTGCTCTGCCTGTGTGCATGGCTTCCCCACCTCACTTTGCCTTGTTTCCCGTTTATAAAGCAGGGTAGTATTTTTTTCAGGGCTAGTCCATTTTACTCTGTGGAAGGGCACAGTGGGGACTATCCCTATAAGCCCTCAATTCTTACATATCAGACAGAAATAGATTTCTTTTTTTTCTTTTTTTTTTTTTTGAGCTGGCCTGGAACTCACAGAGATCTACCTGCCTCTGCCTCCTGAGTACTGGGATTAAAGGTGTGTGCCACGCACCACACCCAGCTAATAGTAGGATTTCTTAATGACTGTTTGCTTGTTGGGGGGACTGAACACAGGGCAGAGAACATCATATACTTCCTGGCCCCTCTTTCCTAGGCATAACCTTTCCTGAAACTTGCCTCCCTGCTCCAGAAGCAACGTTGATCGCTGTTTCTCTGTACCCTTCTCTTTGTCTTGCCAGATGCTGGAACCTCTCAACTGGACCTCCTTTTTGACAGAGATTTTACTTCTGCCAGGGTGTTTGTTCAGCTTAAGCAAGATCAGACAGGGGTTGGGTGTAGCAACTGCCTAATGCTGAAGAGAGAGTTTACTGTCTATTTGGAATTGCAGTCATCCCTCAATACAAATGGTTTCTCACATTTTCAGAGGAAGCTCTTGTCAGTTCTTAGGTGTGGTTTTCATGATTCCTGCCTTTGTCTTCACACAGGCACTGAATAACTGTTTGGTTTACTATATTTTCCTTCTTACAGGATTGCTCTGGCATTCACAGGGATTAGCCTCTTGGTAGTGGGTACTACCATGGTTGGATACCTGCCAAATGGGAGGTGAGTGGGGTGAACTCGTGTGTCAGCAGCTTGCTCTGAGCATGGTGACTGACAGTGGAGGCAACCACAGCTTTGGATCAGCACAGTCCTTGAGTCTTAGGTGGTTCAGATAACCCACAGTGACAGTGGTATCTTAGTAAATGGCTTTTGTTTCATAACTGATAGGAGATAGTAGCTGTGTGTACTTCCTTCTTGCAATCCAGCCCTCACCACCTTCCCACTTTAGAGTAAAAAAAGGTAGATACCACAAAGGAGTCCAGGCTCAGGTATTCACAGATTTTTATAGCATGTTGTTTGGTTTTGCTGGGGATCAAAACCAGGACCCTATATGCAGGGCAAGTTCTCTGTTGCTGCTGTACTTGAATCTTCAGATGTTTGATTGCATGGTTCTGCTCGCTCCATAAGTTGACAGATAACGTAGAGTGTAAGTAGATTTTTCTTTCTCCCCACCACCCTTCTTTCTGAAGGAAACTTGACTCCCTTAGGGAAGTTCTGGGGCCCATAGGTACTGATTGAGCTGGGGCTGGTACAGAGGTTGTACCTGCTGTGGGTGGTGAGTTGGGGGACAGGAATCTAAGAAACCTTGGCTTGTCTATGCTGGGAATTCTTGGCCTACAGATTTTCCACCAACTAACAGGTGAATGTCATCAAGTCTCATTGCATTTCTTCAATTGCGTGTGGCTATAAAGATGTTAAATAATACATTTGCAGGTTTTACCATGTGTGCTAATATTTCTACAAGTACTTCGTGCACTGTTAAATAGTTGGAGCTAGCAACTTGTCCTGTCTTCATACACAAACACCTCAGCTGTCCCGTTGTTGCAGGTTTAAGGAGTTTTTGAGTAAACATGTCCATTTAATGTGCTACCGGATCTGTGTGCGAGCCCTGACCGCCATCATTACCTACCACAACAGGTGAGGGAGCTTTATATTAACATGGCGGGAGACTCATTAACATTTGTCTAGAGCTAGTGATGCTTGTGAGGTGTGTTCCAAACGAATTGATTCATGCCGTTTTTATTGCTTTGCATGTATTTTATACCCAGGAAAAACAGACCAAGAAATGGTGGCATCTGTGTGGCTAATCATACATCTCCCATTGATGTGATCATCTTGGCCAGCGATGGCTACTATGCCATGGTATGAAGCCTCTTTTTATGGTTTTCTGATCAGAACTAGGAGATCTCTAGGCCCTCCATAGGAAACTTCCTTGATTAAGGGTTCACACATGTGAACATGTTTTTGTGTGTAGGTCCCAACTTAAGAGGGTCACCCTAGGCCTGGATAGAAGCTGTTCTGAGTAGAGTGATTGAGAGTATGGCTGGGCATTGTGTCTTGTGTCCTTAGTCTGAGGAGATTACAAGAAAAGGGAGTCTTGAGAAAGCGAGGTGAGAGGCATTGAGAATACCTGAGAGGGCCATTTTTAAAGTTACTCTTCTTTATGTGTTTAACTGGAATAGCCTCTGGCACTGATGCCTAAAGGGGACTTCAGAATCAGAGGAGCCTAAATAGTGGTTTCTTGATAGTGAGAAACTTAAAATTATGAAATATTAACAAGGAGAGGCTGGGATGTGTATTTTGTGGGATTGGGATTTGTGTAAGGATGTATTCACTAATTATTCCTCTCTGAGATTAGGTGGGACAGGTGCACGGGGGCCTTATGGGTGTGATTCAAAGAGCCATGGTGAAAGCCTGCCCACATGTCTGGTTTGAGCGTTCTGAAGTTAAAGATCGCCACCTGGTGGCTAAGAGGTAAATGGGCAAAATGATTCTATTGGTCTAGTTAGGAAGTAAACAAAATATTTTCAGGGTAGTTATCCCTTTATAATGAGCCTATACAGTTGTAATAAAGTTTTAGGACATCTAAAAAGGATATAAATAAACCCAGTATTATTTACCAAGTTATTTATGTTTTCATTATATCCTTCCCAATAAACAACTTAGGAACTACGATTGTTTTGGGTGGTGCTGGGGAGAGCATTGTATATGCTGGGCAAATGATCCATTACTGAGATATACAGACTGCAAGACAAAAAACTTTCATTGCTATTTGCAACCTGTAAGGTCATTGACTCCACCATTATTTTCTGTATCCTAAAGACTGACTGAGCACGTACAAGATAAAAGTAAGCTGCCCATCCTCATCTTCCCAGAAGGTACAAAGTGATGGGAGTGGGAGACCGGGCCCTGAGCCCCGGGGACCTCTGGGGAGGGAGACCGGGCCCTGAGCCCCGGGGACCTCTGGGGAGGGAGACCGGGCCCTGAGCCCCGGGGACCTCTGGGGAGGGAGACCGGGCCCTGAGCCCCGGGGACCTCTGGGGAGGGAGACCGGGCCCTGAGCCCCGGGGACCTCTGGGGAGGGAGACCGGGCCCTGAGCCCCGGGGAACTCTGGGGAGGGAGATCGGGCCCTGAGCCCTGGGTAGTACTGAGGGCTTTTAGCATGGGAGACTGACAACTTGGATCCGTTCATAAGTTTGGTCAAGTTTGATAGTGTGTACCCCACTGGTGCAGGATCCTTTCTGTGATACTGCTGACAGGTGGCTTTCCAGCCTCTCGACGAGTACTCCCTCAGTCTGCTTGGCATCCTTGCTCTATACCTAAGTCTGGGACAGTGGCCTGAGAGAGGAGAAAAGGAATAAAGATTGCATTTATCCAGTCCCTTAGTGTGCATTCATCATTTGGGTGATGGTTGGCTTATGCTGTTGGAGGATTATTTTTAGTGCTAAAGAAACACTGGGTAGAAGTCCAGAAAGGAAGGGTTTCCTCTTGCCTGTGTTTCAGGAACCTGCATCAATAACACATCAGTGATGATGTTCAAAAAGGGAAGCTTTGAAATTGGAGCCACTGTTTACCCTGTTGCTATCAAGGTATACGACCTCTGAGCCAGCTCGAATGCACAGGAGGGAGGTGGGAATTGGTGAACTAGTTGGGGCTGCTCCTCTTTCTCCACAGTACTGCCAGGCCATGTGAGCAGAGCAGTAGAAGAGGATGCTGGTGGGATGCAAAGGAATGTGGGATGTGGGAGAAGAACAGCTACCAGGTTCTGTAAACCGAAACTGCGTAAGCTCTGTAGTTGTGTCCTCGCTACTTTGTTGAAGTCTAAGGCACTCTCATTGCACAGGTGACTTCCAGGAGCAGTGGAGGGGTTGTAAGCTGGACTTGTGCAGTGGGTAGAGAGGAGAGAATGGATGGATCCTCGTTAGACTATATGCAGCTAAGCACCCCACCGCGTTGCATTTCAGTGTCCTCATTCCAGTGATGATGGAATGGATCCTGGGAGCATCTCCACTCTTGTTTCTACCCTTCAGGAAGGAACTTGTCCTTCTAACCAACCCCTTAGACTCCCTGGAAACATGGGATGGTTCAACCGGTCAGCTTCCCTGTATTCCTCAATCCCGTCATCCCCCTTATAACCTAGTGCAGATCTGTATTATTTCTAAAAGAATCTAGACCTCATGGTATTACTCCCCAAATAGTTTGTTTTCAGTATTGTCAACGTACTTAGGCTGACATTTTAGAGCAGGGTCAGAAGTTGTGAACAACTCAGTTTAGCCCCTGCCTTTTCAGTGTCTGTTTGCAGAGTGTTGTAGAAATGTATCCCACTTGGTTTTCAGCTTGCCAGCACAAATCCTGGGTAGGTAGACAGCACCTTCTACTAGCTAAGCAGAACACCAGGCCTGCTAATAACTGAATATTGGCTGCAGGCTCGCTGATGGACAGGCCTGGTCGGCCTAGCCATAGGTGGTGGATGACATGCCAAGGAATAGTCCTTAGCAGGGTCTGCTTTGTTAGTATAGAGTGGAGTCTACATCCCACCTGTATTAGGGTTTTCTAGAGGAACAGAACCAATTGAATGAATATATATATTATACATGTTTATATGTATATATATATTCATATATATGTGTGTGGAGGTTTTTGCTCTTTTTGGGGGGACCTGCCACCCAGCTCCCAAATAAATCACAGACAGAGGCTTATTATTACTTATGAATGCCCCAGCCTTAGCTTGGCCTAGTTTCTCACCAGCTTTCCTTATGTTAACTTATCCCATCTACCTTTTGCCTCTAGGCTTTTCCGGTTCTCTGACTTCTGTAAATCTTACTCCGTGGCTCGATGTGTAGCTGGGTGGCTGGCCCCTGGAGTCCTCTTTCGGGCTCTTAGCTCTCCAGTCTCTCTTCCCAGTTTTCTCCTTCTGTATATTCTCTCTGCCTGCCAGCCCTGCCTGTCCTTTCTCCTGCCTTGCTATTAGCCAGTTCTTTATTAGACCGTCAGGTGTTTTAGGCAGGCACAGTAACACAGCTTCAAAGAGTTAAACAAATGCAACATAAACGAAAGTAACAGACCTTAAAATATTCTACTACATAGATATATATGAGATTTATTAGAGTAGCTTACAGGCTGTGGCCCAGCTAGTCCAGCAGTGGCTGTCTTCCAGCAGAACATCCAAGAATCTAGTAGTTGTTCAGTCCACAAGGCTGATGTCTTAGTTGGTCTTCAGTATAGGCCAGAGTCCTGAAGAAGTAGGCTCTAATGTCAGTGGAGGTGATGGCAGGCAGGCACAGAGAGCAACCTTCGTTCTTCCAGGTCCTTGATGCAGGCTGCCACTAGAAGGTGTGGCCCAGATTAAAGGTAGATCTTCCCACTTCAAATGGTTCAGTTAAGAAAAAAAAAAAAAAAAAATCCCTCACAGATGTACCCAGCCCCTTAGGTTTTAGTTAATTTCAGATGTGTAAATTAACAACCAAGAATAGCCATCACACCGCCAGTGTCATCCTACAGTCTAGCATAATCGTGTGTGGGGGTACTGTATCAGCTATGTTTGGTGAGCTACCAGCCTTCTTTTTCCCCCTCACTGTGTTAGCTCCTATAGCATCACCTGGGGGATGGTTACAAGATTGGTATTCCTCATGCCAAATTCTAAGTGTCATTTTATCAAGGCCCTGGGTGATAGACACTTAGAGCACTGGTCAGGGAGTCCCATTGGTAGCCCTCTGCTGTGCAGCATGGCTCTCATCCATTGTGAAGCATGGAATCTTGAGAGAGTTAGGACTTCTCTGTAAAATAAGATGCATGTACATTTTCTTCCTGTTCGCATATCACAAACTTATGTCCTGCAGATAGTTTCTAGTTTTTGTTTTTGAAGTTCTATTGATATCTGAACTTGGGTAACCTCAGCAGTGACAGTGCTTTTATCATATTTCTACAATCACAAGTCACTGATTTTGAGAATGTTAATTGTTATTTTGAACTTTTGTCTTGCCTTGCTTTGCTGTGGTGTCTGCCTGGCATGGAAAGAGAGTCAGTCCTCAATAGAGAAGTTGATCCCTTATTCCTACTACTACTTCTGCTCATGTGCTTATAACAAAAGAGTCAGTTTTATGGTTTTTTTTTTTTTTTTGTTTTTTGTTTTTTGTTTTTTGTTTTTCGAGACAGGGTTTCTCTGTGTAGCTTTGCGCCTTTCCTGGAACTCGCTTTGGAGACCAGGCTGGCCTCGAACTCACAGAGATCCGCCTGGCTCTGCCTCCTGAGTGCTGGGATTAAAGGCGTGTGCCACCACCGCCCGGCTCAGTTTTATGTTTTGAAACAGGCTCTCCCTGTGTTACTGAGGCTGGTCTCAAGCTCCCAGGCTCAAAATCATCCTTTTACCTCAGTTTTCCAAGTAGCTGGGATGATAGGTGTACTCTAGTATGTCTGGCTAGCTGCATTATCTTTGTAATCTTATACTATAGGTTAGTTTTGCATTTTCATTCTCCCTTGTTTCTTACTGGTATTAAAAAATTCACTTGCTATTTTTTTAAAAAATGATTTATTTTTATTTTATGTGCATTGGTTTTACTTGCATGTATGTATGTGTGAGGGTGTAGGATCTCCTGGAACTGGAATTATAGACAGTTGTGAGCTGCCATGTTGGTGCTGGGAATCAAACCTGGGTCCTCTGGAAGTTCTTAACCACTGAGCCATCTCTCCAGCCCCTGCTGTTGCTATTTTTTTAAGTTTATGTATGTGGGTGTTTTGTCGGCATGCATCTGTACACAACTTATGTACCTGGTGCCTAAGGAAACCAGAAGAGAATATCAGAACCCCTGGAACCAGAGTTACAGATGGCTGTGAGCTGACATGTAGGTGATGGGAATTGAACCGGGGTCCCCTGGAAGAGCGGCCAGTGTTCTTAACCACTGAGTCATCCCCTCCCGCTTCCCTTAGTGGTATTTAAGGTGCATTCATTAAAGTGTTAAGTTTCTTAGTTTCTGTTGTTAAGTCTCTATTTTTATTGTTAGGACTTAATCTTAATATAGTTGTTCAGTTTTTATTCTGAAATCATAAACTTAGGCTGGGAAGGCCTACAAGATTGCACACTTGAAACCCCATCCTCCAACACACAAATCTCCACGACAGTACTCTACAGGCATCCTTCTACCAGGGAAGGCAACAGTGGTGGTACCTTGGTCCTGGGGGATAACTCTTGAAGTTCTTCTTCTGTTTATCCATTCTCCATGCTGACCCGTCACAGTGTGATTCTGCAGTCAGTGCACTGCCTCCTTATCTGTCTCTTCAGACATTTGGTAGCAGCCGCTCTTGCTCTATGCTCAGGCAGCCTTCTCAAGGACTCGGCTCTTCCTGTTACTTCTCCTGTACCTTCCCTCCGCACTTTCCTACCCCTAAGATTACTGTGGTCTAATAGTTCAGTAGCTGCAATCATTTTTCTCACAAAACACCTTGAAAATAGCCTTTTTGCTCCACTAAAATCATTGACAAACCCAAGTACCTAATACACCTGCCTTGTTGAGACCTCATGAGACTAATGGATGTGGACCCATTTGCTAGTGGATACTGGTGATTTAATTAGCAGAAAATTTCTTCCCGAACAGAAATTCACTTTGTTAGAATTGTAAATATGCAAATTGTATTTGCAATACTTAAGTTTTAATATAGTATGTTGCAAGCTTTCTAAGTGTATGTATAAAGGTTTATATATACTCTCTGTACATAAGTACATGCCTTGATGTTTAAAGTAGGCCTCATAAAAGGAAAGAATGCATGAAGCAAGCACAGTGGACTGTTGGTAATTATTGAACCTAGGAAATGAGTGATTGATAGTGTGTTATCCTGCATTCTGTTTTTGGATTGTCTGAAACTTACGTGTTCCTTGTGAGTGCAAGATGAGGCTGTCTGAGGCAGGAGCTATTTGGGTGTGATGGTCAGGAAAGACCCCCTGATGGCCTGAGTTGAATCTGGAGGGCTGGAGGTCAGACTCCGTGGCTTTAGAGCCACTTTAGCCGTGTTTACTTGAGGCCAGGAGTACTCCTAACCTGGATCCCTGCCCCTGTGGACCCTGCACCAAGCACTGGTCAGAGCTGCTTCTGTAGTCCTTACATCCAGTCTCCTCTCCTTTTCCAGTATGACCCTCAGTTTGGCGATGCCTTCTGGAATAGCAGCAAGTATGGGATGGTGACGTACTTGCTGAGAATGATGACCAGTTGGGCCATTGTCTGCAGTGTTTGGTACCTGCCGCCTATGACCAGAGAGGTAGGTGTCTCTAGTCCTCCAGTGTAAGTGTGCTGTGTGGGGTTCAGGAGTCTGGCAGTGTTCTCATTCATTCTTTGTTACAGGAAGATGAAGATGCTGTGCAGTTTGCTAACAGGGTGAAGTCTGCCATTGCCCGGCAAGGAGGACTGGTAGACCTTCTGTGGTGAGTAGAGCTGATTCCAGAAAATAAGCACCTCTGAGGCAAAGGGCTTCCTCCCTGGCACAGAATGAAACTTGCCCTAGAGAAGGAATGGCCAGACTCCTTTTCCCTAGTTCCAGCCAATAATGTCGGCACTGTGTTGTCCTCAGGAACATGGAATTGTGGACCTTTGCCCAATCTGTTCGGGCTTCCTGACAGTTTGTGCCTCTAGGTAGAGATGACCTGACTCCATTTGGAAACTTCCGAATTTCCCCTGTTGTCTGTATACTGCTAGTCTTTGAAAAGTAGACATTGCCTTTACTACATTATCTTGCCTTATCTCCTAGAACAGGAGGTGGCACACTTTTTCTGTACAGTTTTATAGGTCTCCTGCAACCACTTATCTGTGCCATTTGTAGTATAAAAGCAACCAAAGAGAATACAGGAGCCAGTAGTCATGGCTGTGTCCCATTGAAACTTCTGTACAAGAACAGATGTGAGGCAGGGTGTGAGCTTTTGTCCATGAGTCTGAATTAACCCCTAGTGTCTGCAGTGGTTAAAGTCAAGTTAAACAGGAGCTTGCTCCATGTTTCCTGTCAGGTTTTCCTTGGATTTGAACCATAGAATGCATCTGTCATACAGCAGAACTGACCAGTCGTCTTCTCTGCTGCTATATTAGCCTTTGTCTTTTCAGGGATGGTGGATTGAAGAGAGAAAAGGTGAAGGACACATTCAAGGAGGAGCAGCAGAAACTGTATAGCAAGATGATTGTCGGTAACCACGAGGACCGGAGCCGGTCCTGAGGCTCGGCCTGGCACTGGCTGGAGCCGCCACCTCTCAATCCTGACAAGTGAGCCAGCTGGAGTTGCTGCCACAACCTCTCCCACCATCCCCGCCACCCACTGCTGCATCTTCCAGACTCTGGCCCTCAGGCTGTTCTGGACTCCAGGACTCCTGAATTCTTCAGAGCCCCATGTACTGCCTGCTGCCCTCTACCCAGAATGCTGCTGGCTGGGGCTCCCCGGGACAAACGCCTCTTGTTCCTTTATAGTAAGCCTCTAAGAGGAATGCCATTAAAGCAGATCTGTTGTGTGCTAGCTGGTGGGAAGGCGGGCCCCATTCTTGCCATGAGAGAATGTTGGTGTTACTGTGTAGGGACATCTACATGCTGGGAAAAGTCAGAAGAGACACTGCCGAGGCAGGTGTCTAAACAGCCTCCAGCCTTGGAGCTTTTAGATGGGACAGAAAGAAAGCTGTCTACAGGAGTGTTCATTCCGTTCAGCAGATGGAGTCCTACATGCATAAGTAATGTGTTCCTGCTTACAAAGGTCACCAGAGGAGATAGGAAGAAGCCGGTGGGCCCCTGGCCAGCTAGCTAGCCCCAGGAGTCTTTGAGTCAGACTCCAGGCTGAGCCTGAGTCCCCCACATGACTTGTGTGTTTACTATGTCTCAGTTTCCCTGTCTGTTACATGGAATTGCAGAGGGTGATGATAACCTACCTCACAGGGTTGTTGTGGGGGTTCCAGTGCTTGTATATGTGAAGGAAATGGATGCTGGTCCACAGGGATGGCTTCATAGAACATGGCAGGACGAAAAGTCAGAGCTCACAGCTGCTGCCCAGGATTTTAAACTTGTTTTGTGAGTAAATAAAACTGGATGGTAAATGAATTTAGGGACCTTGACTTCACTCCCGAGAAATGTATTTCTTGCTGGGTAACAACTGTGGTACTTGAAAATGACCCTGGACGGCAGGGTCTGTACGTAACTCTGCAGTGAGGATAGTACCGCTCAGGAAGGGCAGACTCTCGGGTGTTTCCACATCTCCGTTTCTAGCTTTCTCCCAGATGAGAGCCATGAAAAACAGACCATTGATGAGGTTAGAGAGAGGCCCTGTCGGTGGCATTCGGGATCTGAGGGACTGGGGAAGGCTTGAGGAGGGAGCAGAAGTGGTGGGAAGAACTCATGAGTTCGGCAGGAGGGGTGGGAACCAGCATGCACCCATGGCTGGAGGAGAAATAACAGGCCTGCAAACCACCCAACAGCCACTGGGGACGGATCCAGTCAGCCACTCCGTGGTTACTTCCGAGGTCCACCAACTCTTGAGTTCCTCCAAAGGAAGATTACCCTCCTACCCACACGCCATTGTTCCGCAATGGCACAGTCACGGCACTTTTCACAGTGTTGTAGATACCCCAAGTCTGGGATGCGAGGCCGTTCTAGAGGGCAGCCTGGCTCCCAAGGCTGTGAACTGATGCCACTCGGATGCTTGAGGACCTTCCTACCTTCCTGCCACCTACAGCCTCCCGTTCCCTCCTGCCTGCTCCGTTCCCAGTGGAAAACACTTCAAATAAAAACACCCACGACTGTAAGAACAGCCTCTTGGGAGCTATTTTACAAATGTTCAAAACTGAAAAGCGGGTTTTGGCTTATGTAGTATTTCAGTGCTGTCCTTTAAAACGGTCTAGGGTCAGGCATCCTTTGAAACTGCTGCTCCTGGTTTGACCTCGCAGTCCGTGTGGGGAGTTTTCACTTGGCTCACTTCCCCCTCACCCATGACACAGCAGGTACCAGTGAGGAGACGTGTGTGCATCTTTCCTCAGCACTTGCTCCAGGCACTGCTCTGCTGCTGACCATTTGTGACTGGGTCCTGCAGGTTCCCAGTTACCTGCCAGCCAGAGGTTTGGTGTGGGGTTGGCCTTACGTGATACAAACTAGGCCCCAAGGACAGCCTGAATACTCGAGAGCTTCCGTCCCACTTGTCAGTCTGCTGCCCCCGTGCTGTATTGTCTTCATTTCTCTATTTCCTGACTTAAATTTGGTGACTTCTGAGGCCTTAAACACCTCCGACATCTCAGTAGGTGTATGTGTGTGTACCTGTGTGTCTATGTCTATGTGGGTGGGTACATTGTGTGGTGGTGCATGGGGAGGCCGGAGGACAGCCTCAGCTACCGCTTCCTCAGTCAGGCCTCGCCTTGTTTTCGAGACAGGGTCTCACTGGCCTAGGCTGATTGGCCAGTGAGTCTCCGGTCTACTTGCCCAGCACTGCGGTTGAAAGTAGAAGCCATCTTCTTGGCTTTTTTTTTTTTTTTTTTTTTAAACATTAGTTCTGGGAGCTCAAACTCAGGTCTTCATGCTTGCAGTGCAAGTGCTTTATTGACTGAGCTCTTGTTCCAGTTCCATCAAAAGCCCGTTGCTCACAGGTGAGCTCTGAGCCCTCAGATTGTGTGGGTCCATTTTGAGCTACTGGCTCCTCCCTGCAAACCCAGCTTGGGAAGCTAACCACTGCCCTTGTCCTTGGGGATTTGTGCTGTCCCCAGACCTGCTGGGTAGCTGGGACTGTGGATCGTACACAATTTCCACTCAGACATGACTTTTTACCAGCTAGTTAAAAGAGCTTTCTAGTTAGGCTAGTAAAATCCCCCAGATACTAGGAAGCTCAGTAGAAGGATGTCAGGCTGGCCAGGCCCCCATGAGCAAAGCTTGATGGGAGCTGTTTTCCATCAGCACCGCTCTCTGTTGGTACCCTTCAGAGATGAAAGAAACCTTGATGTGTGAGAGATGGTGGCCAGGACAGCAGCAAGGGGCTTTTAGATGCTGAAAGGCTTGTCAGTGGGCACTAACCAATTCCTTGTGGCAGTCTGGGCCTATAAACCCTGCGGCTTCCTTCTAGAATTGACCAAATTCCTACTGTCTGGGTTGGTGTGTACTGATGGCCCCTGATGTTTGAAAGATGCTACCATGTTGCTGCAGGTACCATCCACCTGCTTGTCCATCTTAGTTACCAGACTCAGTTTCTCCAGGTACACCATCCTGTGTGGCCTGGGATATCCCAACTCCTGCACACAGACTCTTGGAGAGGCTAAGAGATGACCATCTAGCCATCCATCTTTCATGGCACTCACTCCCCTCTCCCCCCAGTCAATATGTCTCTCTCCGATGGGAAAGTTAATAAATTTTGCTCTAGATTAAAAGTATTGATTATTTCATTTGTAAACAATAAATAAAAAGGAGGAACTTTTCACTGCACCAGGGCAAGCGTCTGGTGTATTTTGCTGGTGAAATTTTGCTCGCTGTTGGGGGGGAGGTGGGCTTCTCATATGCATTCCGTCCGGCCAGCAGCATTGATTTCCTATTAGTTTCCCAGCACCACCCAGTAACACATCATTTCAGTACCTGCTATTAATGGTCTTTTGATAAATAATCACTTGTAAGTCAATAAATTTTTATTAAACACTGTAGCTCTTTGATTTATTAAAATCCGACCATGTTTGTCTGGAAGAAAAGGGATGCTGAATTGAAGTGGAGATTTTCATACATCTTCCTGACGTGGAGCAGTCACTGCACACTCCGGAGAAAAACAATTGCATTTTAACAGAAACAAAACAGCAGAGTTTGGAACTTGGGCCCAGGGAAACTTTATCTCAGTCAGTGTCTTACTCTGTCGGGAGCAATAGCAGGCCGGCAGAGTCAAGAACTTGGGTTGGCTTCTGAGCGGTGCAGTGCCCTGCTTGACTGCCTCTGGATGGCACTGAGGGGCCTGGGCAGGTCCCTGGGGCACATACTAAGGAACCTTTCCCAGGGTCAAGTGGACCCTGGATCAAACACCTGTTGAAGCAGATACTTAAAATGGACTAGAAACAAACTATAGGGCCTTTAGCTGTCTGGCCGTATTACCAAAGCCACATCCAGGTCAGGGAATGCCTGGAGACGATGGATGTTGATTATAAAAGTGAGTCAACAGCTACAGATTGGAAGTCTTTCTTTTGTGGGCTTTTCATTGGCACAAATGTTTGCTGTACAGTGTGAAGTGTTTGACACATTAAGCCTGGCTGCAGATCAGTTGCTCTATGGAGCTGCTTAGCCAGAGTCCTTACCCAGGGGGATGTTAGGGAAAGGAGAATCAGGTTGGATGGTCACTGTTTGTCAGAACAGCTGGAGAGGTGGCTCAGTGGTTAAGAGCACTTGCTGTTCAGGGAACTCAGTTATGTTCCCAGCACTCAAAAACAGCTTATAGCTGCCTTTAATTCCAGTTCTAGGGGACCTGGCGTCCTTTTCTGGCTTCATTGGACACACACACACACACACACACACACACACACACACACAATCATTTTTAAAAACAGCTGGAGGCCCTTCTTGACCTTCTGTCAGTACCCAATGTAGTGGGCAGAGACATGGCAGGAGGCTGAGAGGAAGTCCACAAGCCAGTGCATACACCTTTAATTCCCACACTCTGGAAGCAGAGGCAGGTGGATCTCTGAATTGAAGGCTAGCTTAATCTACATAGTGAGTTCTAGGCCTGCATGGAATACACAGTGAGACCCTATCTTGGGGAAAAATGAAATCCACGGGTGGTCTCTGGTGTCCTCTACCTGCTGCAGGCTTTACAGTAACTCGCTGTTGGAGCTTCCTCTCCTGGTCCAGTCTGGGGTGGTATGCTGCCATCAGGGGACCTTGAAGGGTGAACAGCAAGAATTGGCACAGTCCTTTTTGGGTGTGTGGTTTCTGTCTCTGGATGCAGAAGGTTGGTCAGGAAGACTGGCTCCTCTCTAAAAAACGTCAGGCCTGTGCCCGAGCTCCAGTCCCAATGTCATTGGGTGGTGCACCACGCTCAGGAGGCCAAAGGGGGACATGAATAGAGCTTTCTAGAGCATGGGTGACTTAGAGTTTCACGTGCAAAATTCAAGCCCATTATATATAAGTTGGTCTTGAACCTGTTACACTCCCACCCAGACTCCCAAGTGTAAGATCACAGGCGTGTGCCACCACACCCAGCTCAAGACCACTCTCAAGATGGAGCAGACAACTAACCTTTACTGATTCACCTCACTTCTCCTGCCCAGTTCTATTCCATTCTGGGAGGAGTTTGGTGGAGACAGGGGCGAAGAATCATTTCAGAGTTTCCTCTGTTCCAAGATGACTTCCTGTGAGGTCAAAAGCTGTGGGAGAGGAGTGGCCTGCTCAGAAGCTTCTACTCTAGCTGAAGCAGAGGCGAGGGGAGAGAAGCTGGAACAAAGATTGGCATCGCAAAGGACATTTGGGCATCACCTACCAGGACCTCACCACCTGTTGAAGCCAGGAGACAACAGAAGACCAAGGGAATAGCAGAGATTGGGGATCTCCCTTGGTAGGAAGGGAAGAGAGACATGCTTCCAGAAAAGAGGGTCTGGTTATCCTAGGGATAGCTGTGACCATGTGCTATTTCCCTTGACTCCATGGGCCTGCAACCAAGTCTGAAGCACCCTTGAGTCACTTCTTGGATCACCGATGTAGCACTGAGGGGACCGTAGCTAGGGCCTTCCCACTTGGTCCCATGAGTTTCAGTGGAAGATGTCCTCAGGCTGCCCAAGATCTGCATCCTATCCCAGGGCCTAGACAAGCATCTGGCTCCTCTTAATAAGCAGCAGGTGGCGACTGGAGGCATGAGCCCTCCTGCTTGGCCCTGCTCCTTGTGCACGATGCTCCATACTGGGCCCTGCGAAGGGCTTGCTGCAGCAGATTGATCCGCCAGCTGTGATTTGTCATTTCTGAGACAGGAGCTGTTTTCTCTTGCTTCAGGAGGCCCCTTCGACACCTGCTTTATTTTTCTTCCTGCGCTGACGTGACGGGAGACAGGTGTTAAACTACTTAATCACTTTAAAATTGTTTTAATTTTCTGTTTTTTATTGATCGCCCTGGCGCCAATTAATCAGCTCACTGGACCAGGCAGTTAGTACATTAAAAATTGTCAGGGAGGCCGTGCATCTTGCAAAATGTCTAAAAAATATTCGGCTAACAAATTTTGTTTTTTCCTTGGCATGCAACAGTCCTTGGCCCATGGAACTCCCACTCAGGACGCCTTCCTCTGGGATTTCCATGTCAGACGGAATATTTGGGGTACAGGAAGAGACCAGGCCCAGGCTTTCTACAGAGACAAGCGGAAGCAGTAACCTTTTGGTTACCTGTCTGCCCCTCCCCTCCACTTTCGTTTGTGGAGCAGCTCTGGGTCAACTTTCACTGGGTTTGCACACATAGCCTGGTTTCTCTTCTCTGGGATGTCAGCACTTTGGACTTCCTTTCTGACAGTGCCAGAGCTTTCTCCCTGAGGACTTGGTAAACTGCCTTGGCAGAGAGCTGTGTCACGCTGCCTTATCCCTGTTCCCCGAGCAATGGGCCTGGAGCCCTTCTGTGGGATGTTCTGGGTAGCCACACCGCCCTCACTGCCGGGTGCCTCTTACCTTGACTCACCTGTAATCACCCCACTTGAAAATGATGCAGTAATTGCCTAATTGTACTTTCTGAGTTACATAAACCACAGATGCCCTCTGGGAGCTCCAGCATCACTTCTAGAGAGCAAACACTTCTTTTCCCATTTCTCCGTTTGGGTCGGATTTCCTATTGCTTTGGCTAGGGCAAAGCTTCTTTATTTCCTGGAACAAACTGACTATTATCAGCCTGCCTGCATAACCTGGGTTGTTGTTGCTTCTTGGTGGGTGCCCTCTCCCCAGAATGCCTTCTGCTCACTTGCCTCCTCTAGGTACATCCCCATATGAACCAGAGTCACTTTCACTCGACCCCGTACCATGTCGCTGTCACGGGAACTCCACCAAACCTCAGGAAGCTTTTTCAGAATCAGACTCCAGATCCTTTCTGGCAGGGCCAGGGCACGAGCCCTGCACGGGAGGATGCTATAGGAGAAGTGAGGCTGCTAAGGGGCGAGTCCGGTGTTCTCTGCATTCTGGTGGCTGCCCTCAGCCCCACCTGCTCTGTATTAATTGTTATATGATTGGGCTAGGACATATAATCTAGTATTGATTTTCTCTCTGGATACCGCAGCTTTATTTGCTCACATCTGCCTTGTGTTTAATTGGTGCTTTGCTCTGGAAACAAGAGATCGTATCAGCCTGTTGGGTTTCTCTTCCCTGGGCACACTGGCATGCACACAGCCCAGCACCCTCCCTCTCCCAGCCTCTCCCTGACCCTCCCACCTCCAGGCATTCCTGGGGTGTGAGGGGAGTGGGCAATGACCCAGAAGGGCTTTTTTTCCCTAAACTTGACCTCACAAGTGTGGGTTCATTTTTCTTTGTATGAAGTGTGTGGGGCACGGGGGTGGGGGGCAGGGGAGACAGAGATTGTAGGGGAAGGAAGAATTATTTTTGGAGTTGGACCTGAGTTCATATCTATCCTCTCTGCATATGTGGCCTGAGGCTGACCCACTGCATTTTCTGAACTCTCGTGTCTCTTCATTATTGGAGAATCGTGCTGTGTAGGATTCTTAGAGGTTGTATGTCAGCCTATATGATGCTTGGCACACTGTAGGTGCCCAATAAACAGCATGTCCTTGGTCAACGTCCTCCTCGGCAGCTACACACTGCCTGTTACAGCCCTAGGCATGTACATCAGTCCTGGATACCTTGTTAGTCTGTGTGGACTGGTTGTGGCTGGTGGCGTCTCACCTCACCCAAGGCTAGGACTTCTGTTTCCCCCGTGCCTAGTATTGCCAATCTTAACCACACCCAGGCTGGCGTCTGTATTTTTTTTTTTTTTCCTGATTGATCTGGCATCTGGCCCAGTTCACCCTGGACTTTCTGTAGTGAAGGGAAGGTGTAAGAGCTGGAGGTAAACACGGGCTTCCTGTTGACACACACTAACTCTCTTGTTTGGACGGGTGAATGTACCACCCTCACGTTAGCGAGATTAATGGTGCTTGTTTCCTGCTGGGAGAGGCCCCGTGAGGACTCCCTTCAGTTTTCTGCGCTGACCGTGGAGACCAAGGCTGCAGACGGCTGTGTGGAAGGAACAGGTCTGCTGTTTCCAATGGTGTGCTTCCTCTTCGGACCAGGGCAGGCTGAGGAATTGCTGGTCAAGGAATGGAAGCTGCCTGTGTCCTGCCCCCATGGAGTAGTTTTTATAAGAAACCCTCCCTAATAGATTACAAGTGTATCTAGGGGCTGCCCTGTTCTTCTCTCCAGGTATGTGGGCCCTTGTACCTGGGCGAGAGGCATGGTTAAATGCAGTATGGCCTTAGTTCATTGTCCTGCAGAGGGAGGGACTATGGGAGGGGTTCAGATGGAAGGCTAGAATCTCTGTGGGGCATCTGGCAAAGGAGTGTCGGGAGCGAGGAGTCCTGGCCAGTAGGTGGCGTCACAGGGTAGTGCAGAGCAGTGACAGTTGTGTGACTTTGTTGACCTCATCAAACAGCTCATGGCATGTCATAAAGAGGAGCTGGGATCTGGGTATGCGCCCTTCAAAGTCCATG